GGATTCACAGGGAAGTCCTAGGAGATGGAAAATTTCCACATCTTTAAAGCAATGGAGTCACTTACGTAAGTATCTTTAAGGATGTGACTGTAAATATTGTAAAGCCCTATGATTTTATCAAAATATTTGGCGTATCTGTTTAAAGTCCCAACTCTGGAATCATGGTCTTTATACAAATCTGCTTTCAACTTTTTTTAATAGGAATTTTGAGTCTTCCTGGTTAGGTAAAAACATTAACTCTTAAAGATCAACCAGAAACAAATAACAAATAATTTCTTCCCATTTAGTATTTTATATAAAAATTAGTTCTTTGTTTAATCTAACAAATAGTGAGGAGTCGTGATTTCTGAATTTTTGGGATTGCCAGTATAGTAACCAAATATCCTCTCACAACATATTGAATCTGCTCAAGGAATCTTCCTCAATTCAAGGAATTATTAAACCTACGTTGTCAATAGGCTTCTTCATATCGCACAGGATGGCACACAGTCAATCAATATTTAACTTCCACACCACATATTGCTCCCACAGAAGGCCAGAATTCCCCATGTCAGTTATCCTATCTTAAAGTGAATCCCCAGCCACTAGCAGCTCTTTTGACTAAGGCGGCTATGTATATCCTGCCTGGATCCGGCCCAGATGCTTTATTTCTATTGCATGAGATGATTAATTATGTGGTTTCTTTCTGTTTGTCTGATAGACGCTGAGGTAAGAGACTGATGGTTGCTTAGTGCACTATTATTAAAAAGCTGCTTTTGATAGCCCTGAACAGGCTTGAGTTTGTGCTACAACTAATCATAAAGCTGCTTACTTGGAAATGTAATGCTTGTTAATACTATACTGTACTTTTATAAGTAAACTCATTTTTGATTGGCTAGAGTTTAACTGTAATCAGTAATTAAGGGTCAGCCATCCAGTAAACTCATTAGTTTACACCAATTACATTTGGTATAGTAACTAATGATTTCAAGGATCAAGCCATTTATTTCTACGCTTTCGAAGTATAATTATTGTGTAAATCAGATAGAGTGTAAATCTTTTCCATACGTTTTGGTTGGTAATTGAGAAATAAAATGGTTTCCAAATGTATTCTCTGTCCAGTTTTTGTTCTGCAGTAGATGTCTCTGGGGACTCTTTAAAGTATATGGAAAAGGTGATGTCAACAGAAGCATACGCTGGGCAAACTGAGACAGGATTAATTAATAGAGATGAAAGAGAAAAGCCAGCCCCTTGCAAATCGTGGCCCAGCCCTCAACTTGGACATCACACCTTAAATGACAGTTTACAATCCTAAGCATGAGTCATGCAGATTGACAAGTATTCAAAATAGAAGAGAATTAAAAATCCTTTATGTTTAATGTATAAAGGCCTTTCCAATATGCAGTCTTTAAGATGGTGTAATCTCTGGAGCATTTCGCTTTGAAGTTTAATATGTAGTTCTTCACATCCACATAACATTTTCAACACGTTAAACAAATTAGTCTCTGGTTACAGAAGTTTTTAGACATTTACAAGTTGCCATTTAACTGCATTTTAATATGTGCCAGCGAAGTTGCTCATGCACTTGTTCATTTAGAAAAATGCTCTTTTGGAATGATTAATAAATAAACCAGCCTTCCTATCCCTTTAAGTTTGGTGTTTATTTGAAAGCAATCTACTTTAAAAAGACATTAATATCCCTAGAATTATTATTAGAATAATTGCTTTTACTCTTCTTGGAACACACATTTTTTCTCATTTCCCTTCAGCACAGACAGCTTTCGACTCAGATATAAACTTCCTATTATTATTCCCCACTCCCCACCCCAAAAATGAAGAATAGGAATTATACACTTTTCACTAAGGAATAATTAATTTGTCTCAAGCATTGGAACAGAGAATTGTAGAATGACTTTGAATGGTAGTCTCTAAGGAGTAGCATTGTTTGTTCTCTTCGGTCTTTAATGAGCTTTAGTAAATGGCCAGGAAAAATTACCTTCTTTCTGTAATATGAGAGAAGCGAAGAATGAAGGAAGCTATAGAATCCCTAGGAGAAAAGGGAGCAGCCACACACACGTGCACACACACACACACATATGCACACACCGCCTGCTGTACCGCATTGCTTCCAATGGTTAGTGTTCACCTTTGGAACTGAGCACTAGAGCTCTAGTTTTTCCATTACAGTTAAAACATATAATGTCCTTAATATTTTTGTAAGAGAGAAAATTCCTGGATGTCTCCCACATACTGACAGTGTCTGGCTTATGTTGGGGGACAACTGCCTATAGCTGAGCTCTGTAAGTCATTCTGGCTTCCTCTGCTTTGGCATTGATTTTGTCTTTTAAGATTCTTTAGTCTATTTTTGTTGTATTTCCACCTTTAAAAGCAATTTCCCTTATAGTGTCCCCACCTGCTGCCCTGTCTTTTAACAGACTTCTTTTCCCTCTGCCGCAGATTTATTGTCACTCCTGTCCAGAACGGTCACTGAGGCAGCAGCGGCAGTAAGGATACAGACCTGTCCCCATGGATAACAGATTATGTTCAGGAGCACCTTTTCCTTCCCTTCCCTCCAGCCTCCACATAAGTCCTCACTTACCTACCTACCGTGATGTGTCAGTGGTGCTGAGGCAGCTGCTATTGCTGCTCTGGGATATGAGGGGACCTGACCCACAGCAGCCAAGGGAGAACAGCACAGGCTCAAAGGGTCTTGTGGAACAGAGGCTCTCTCCAATACATCCTGTCGGAGCTCTTCCAGTTTGTATGGAATAATTAAATATTCACTGGATTGCCATGTATGCTTTGTCTCAAAGCATTACAGAGAGGAAGAAACCTGGGTGCTGTTACTGCCTTCCAGGGAATACTTCCATACTTTGTGTTACGTATTTATTGGGGCAGGCCCTGGCACACGTGGTTTCCCCACCCAGGTGTCTCCACTACAAAGCTGACAAGTCAAGTGCAAGCTTTCCCACTTGAACAAAGGACGCAGATCACACTCCTTACAGAACACTTGATAATCTCTTGGGTAGGGTGCTAATTCAAGGGGCAAGAGATTCAAGTTCAAATTGCCTCAGGCAGAGGCTGAATACAAGTCTCCCCTATCTTGGCTAAATTGCACCAGCCAGGAGCCTGAACCACAAAAGCTTGTGGGAGGAAGAAGGGCAGAGGAGCAAGGAGGAGAGACGTGCAGAAGGCAGCAGTGCTATCTGTCATTATTCTGTGAGAAAAACCTGGTGCGGGTGTCCGGTTCCTAGAAAGCAGCAGAGCAAGCGTGGTAAGTAGGTAAAGTAACAACGGTGTTACAACACCTTAGTCTGAGCGTGGCTCTGGATCACGGGAGGCGCTCTCATGGCAGACATCAGATTGCTGACGAGAGTTCAGGGTCACGAGGGATGCGAAGAGAGATGATGAAAGTGGGGAGAGCTGCCTGGACCCATCCCAGACATTTAGGGAGAAGATAAAAGTAAACAGCTGCTGCCAAAGTAAAAATCATTTCTCTCTATCGTGGGCCCTCTTCAGCGCAATTGTGAGAGAAGAATAAATGGAGAAAGATGGTTGAAAGACAGATAGGAGACAGTGAGAACAGGACTAGTAAGTGAGGCGGAAATGTTGGAAAGAAGACAAAGAGGAAGAAACATAAGAAAGCAGCAGGAGGATTGGACAAAGGAAAAGGAAAAACCATGACCGACCAGGACACTTCACCTCTCATTGCCTCAATCTTCTGGCAATAAAATAATATCAGTAAGAGAATCACAGACCATTTCTGTGACTTTGAAATCCATAAATATTTAGGAGACACCTAAGTGTCTCGTTGATCGAGATTGTGTTAAAAAGAAAGTGGGAAAATGTAAGAGAATAGTCTGACAAGTCTGAAGCCCTGCTATCAGGAGGAAAAAAAAAGGAACAGGACTTACATGCTTGATTTCATATGTGTAACTGAGAATTAAAATCCACACCAAAGCATGCTTACGCCCTTTAATAGTAGAAAAGATTGGGCCTATTTCAGACCAGTAAGAACACATGGTTTAAGGCATGCAGCTGCTCTTTCTTCAGTAACAACCTACTGTGACTCCTATAATTTATTCCTCCCAAGATTCATTTGAACATCTGCAGTATCATTATTTGAGTTTGTTATACTATTAGCTTTAAAATTTTATAAGCTATACAGTAGGATAGGTGACAAGTTGAAAAGTTAAGGAGGGTTAATTTAGAAGTTTTAAAGCAAAGCTATTTTTGAGTTATACAAGTTCAAAAAAGCATCTGAATCCAAACCTCCATGGTTACATTTAAATAACTCAGAAACTGCTGAAAGGATTTTCTTCGAACTTCACTCAAGACAAATCCCTCTGGGCTAAGACCAAGCATGAGAATTTAACTCAAAAGGTGATTGTTGTCTGAAGGGAGTTTTCTCCCCCTGCCCCCCAGTTTGCTTGTTTTGTTTTCAATGTTCTGAAATAAATAAATAGCACTGAAAAATAAGGGTCTGGAGTGTAACTGTTTAATATCCATTTTATCATTATAGTAAGAAAAATGCTGTTTGTAAACTGCCTTTTTATTAAAACCAGACCCCCTGCTCTGCCTTTAGCCATTACCAGCAGTCTTAGTACCCACCTCTAGCAGGCATTTGATAATGCTGTGACTGGGTGGCTCAACAAAGTACAGAGCTGTACTCCCAGCCCCATCTGCAGCTTCTTTGCATGCCTCAGCAGCTTGGTGCAGCTATAATACTACCCTAAATGGACAACTGAGGATTCCCCTTAACAGGAAGTCTTTGGAGAGCAGACGACCAGCAGCTCTGCAGTGCTCTTTCCTTCACTTTCCATCCCCAGTTCATGGGAGGTGAAGCATACTCTATACCTGTCGGCTGACCTAAACTGTGTTTTGATTTCTCACTGGTCCAGGACTCAGAAGGCAGAAAGGTAGCTGGTACTCACACTTTTCTCAGCTCACTGACTCTTAACTCGGTGCATCTGGCAACCTCATTCATTCTTCCCCTTTACAGCTGAGACCAAGGGACTCACCTCTTAGTCCTGTAGCTGTAGGAACCTCTGTAAAGAACGAACGTGAACAACGAGGGTGGAAATTTCTATTTTCTTTCCCAAAGTCCTTGAAGTCAGTCCTCTTTAATAGCAGCATCACGGGTCCTGGTAGCCTGATTATCTGGATTTAAAAAAAAAAAACAACAAACTAAATAAAAGAAAGGAAACAGTGGATTATTTTTTTTCCCTGGTCATTTCAACTCTCTCCCACACTTTGTTTTCTACAAATTGTCCCAGGGCAGACAAGAGTCTTCCCTCCCCCTTCTATCCAGGCTCGTTTCTGATTCTCTTGGCGGCACCTCCCACAGTTACTCACTCATTTGTTTGTTTGTTTTTCCATTTGCAACTTTTGCCCCCTCCAAAGAGCTGGCTTGCCCAGGGAAATTACAGTAACTTATTTAATTTCAAATGTATTCAGAAAGGCATTTGAATTGTTCCTTTTCATTTGGAGCAGCATCCAAATTTGGAACTTGTGAAAAACTGAAGGGGAAGCTTTGGAATATATTTGCTGAAATAGTTCACCACATTTAGCCCAGGCAACTCAGATACATGCGGAAACAGCTTCCCTTGCCTATCTTCCATATACATGACCTGGATTAAAAGCTGCTTTGGGCAAGGGCCAACTCATTGTTTGTGGCCCTAACACAATGTGGCTTGCAAGCTGTGGCAATACTGTAATACCCAGGGATTTGTTTCAGGAGACCCTGATTTTAAAAACAAAATACATGTTTCCTGATGACTGCTAACACCGAACAGTGGGAAGCATAGCTGAAATGGGCATAGAAAGGAGCATCAGGAATCCAAAGTCTTAGGTTTAGTTCTTATTTGTTTTAATTTTGAGGAAGTCTACTGTGGCAAAACAGAGAAATACCTTAAAGTTGGTATCAAGATGTGGTAGCTTACATAGGGATAAGCAATTCCTAGAAGCTTCCTGCTGTACCACCCTAGGGGAGCAGGCAAATTCTGGCAAACTGTGAAAAATTTGACAAAATTTTTAAAAATACGTCACAATATTTAAATAATCAGAAAGCTTCTCCATTCATAAATGTCCCATCTGCTCTCCACCACCAAACTTCTGGGGTATCATTTTTCAGTCAGCGCTTGGCACTCAGCACTTTAAGCTGTCTGCTACTATCTCATTCATACAGCTTTTTCATTGCGGGTCAATATTATCTGACTAGGTTCAGATTAAATCTTAATACACTGTTCACCTGGAAAACCCCAACTCCAAGCACATTGAAAAATTGCAAACATAAACAGTGCCGTTTCCATGGATGATGACATATTAAAATGTATCCCAAAGGGAAAAGTATCATGAAAAAGAGGAACGGGAAGTTATAATCACAGAAGAGAATGCCCTTCTTTTTCAGCTGAGATTTTATGTAAGAGTGAAAAGGAATGTGGCAAAGAGAAGAAAGGTCCCTCTCCTCACTGCTGGTTCTGTAGCAAAAAAAGATTGTCACATCAGCCATGGTAAAATTAGGCAGAGAAAGAGCAGATCTGAATATCATACGGGAAGATGTGAAATGAGGAAGAGTTCACTGCAGTTCAAGGATGGCAAAGTATAATGAAGGCAAATGGAAAATAAGAGCTGGAACTAGAAGAGATGAGCTGCAGGAACCCAATACGAAGACAGAAGTTTAATTAATAAAGACAGTCAGAGCAAGCTGAACAGAGAAGACTCGTTTAAAATGTCAAAATATATCTTTACTTGTGGCCACTAAGGTGAAAATAAAGGCAAGGTATGGAGAGAAAGCATGAAAGTTGAGGGATGCAAGACTGGGTTCAAGGATGGGAGTGCTGAGAAAACCTAAGACTGCAGAGAAGCTCTTCTGGGAGATGACGGCACTGTCTTTAGTGCTCATTGCTGCCACCCAAGTACCCAACATACTGCCCCATTAGTGAAAGGGATCACAGATTGCCCCCTAATCTGTTTAAGCTGAGTCAGCCAGATTCATTTCACCTGGTGATGAACATGGATATGAGTTAACCAGGCTGGCTTAACTTGTCGTGCACGAGGGAATGCTTGCTTGGCCTCCTCTGATGGCAGAGTGATGGGGAGAGACCAGGGGCAAGCAGCAAAAGGTGGTGCAGTTCTCAGCTAGCAAATGGTGGCTAGGCACTGGAGAGGAAATTTCTTTGGTCTAAGAGAACACATGAACATGTAATACTGGAACCAATCCAGACATGTGGAAGGATGCAAATTTCTTAAGGTTGAATAAGACTCAAGGAAAAAGTTATCACCAGCAATACAGAGTGCAAAGAAAGTTTATCTCTCTACATCTCACTGATATGAGTAAGGAACACGTAGTATCTTTGCCACTGGTGCAAGGATAATCTCTGCTGAGGTGTATCTATGTGCTTGGGAAAAACAACAGTTACTGTTTGGTTAGTAACTAACAGGAACCATACCAGAAGAGATTTTACTGTCTCTGGTCTGATACAAAACTCTGATCTATGCTTAAGCTTCATATACTCAGTGTTTGCAACTGCCAAGTAATCACAATTTTTACGAACGTAAAAGCAAGCAAAGTTGAAGAGCAACTACAAGTAAGGGATCACTAGGACAATATACAGTGGCTTTCACTTCAGGGTAATACCTTAATACCTGTGTTCCTTTAGGGACTTGCATCATGTGAATTGGTACTGTTAGGAAGCACATCAAAAACTGAGCTTGCATACTACTAATTTGCTTCTATTACCCGAAGTGGTTATGTTCTCCAAGGTAGGTAGACCATGGGAAGTTTGTTTTGCTTCAGCTATTGCTATAACAATTCAAAGAGAGGAACAAGAATTTTGATTCTAAAAGTGGGTACATTTTAGAAACATTAAAATAACGTCTTAAACTGTAACACAGAAATAATCTTGGTAGCTCCCTCTGTGGTGCTCCCTGTAATTATAGCTGAGAATAATCATAAGTCAACTTTTTGTAAGAGAGAGGCCACCCCTTCTGCGTTTTTACAGGGACTGCAGCTCTAAAACCTTTGCAATTACATTTATATCTATCTTATCTTCTAAGTTACCATTTAGATTGGGGCTTTTAATATCTGACTCAGTCGGCCTTATGTTGTTTAGTTCTCCACATTTATATTCTTATTTTTGGTGCCTGTCATTCACATTTCTGCAGAGTTTAGTTGAAACCAATAGTGCCTTGTTCATATTACTGGTACTTTGCATTGCAAATATTAAGTAGAATTGGCGATCCAAGTCATTCACAGAACATTCTTATACAGCACATAATTTGCCAACAGCTAAATTAATCTCACTTCACAACGTGAGGCTGTGTACATGTGGTTTCTGATACAAAAGGTTCCAGTGAAATCAATGGTATAGGCATCATATTAACTCAGACCCAGCTTTTTCAGGTCCACAAAGCTTAGTCATGTGCCTGCTAATTTAGAACTCAAATGTAAGCAAGAATCTCAGCTCTCCTTTTTAAACAGTGTGAAGTTTCAATCCAATTTACCTTGCATAGATGAAAACATAAATCAGTAGCTGGTCTCCACTGCACATACTAATTTAATGAGCTGGGGATTTGACCACATGTGTATATACACTCTGGGAACCTGAAGACCTTTCCCTCTATACTGCATTAGGTTTGGATGCATGCCAAAGAACTATCTACAGGCTAAAGGGAGGAGAGAAAGGCTGTCTGGCCCATCAGTTAGCACCAGGGTCCAGAACAAGGGTGTGAGCCACAGGTCAGGGATTAAGCACCATCCATACCCTCCAACTGATGATCGGTCAAAGAAATGCATGTGCTGCTGCCAGTGGAACCACAGCTCAGACAGCAGCCCCAAAACATGTCCCAGGACAATGCTTGGGGTCATACTGCTCGGCTGGAACCAGTTTTCCATCCCTTCCCTCAGCTGGGAGGGAATCCAGTATAACACAGAGGATCTCCTGGAAGAAAGCTCTTGAAAAGCGTGTGACAAAAAAAGCTTCCTCAGACCTACATTTTGGCTCGTTGCCTGGTGTACTACAAAACAAAAGACATTTGGGGGTTTTGTCTACTAGGTTTCAAAGAAGGTGTGTAATGACAAGTCTGTCAGAATGAAAAATGAAGTTGATAATTAAAAGACAGAGAATAATCATGCACAACCATCAAGAGTGATTTGGCACCATTCACATTGCATGACTTTTCTTGACCGGACAGGACTATGACCTGAAATACAGCCTCCAAAACAGCAGTGTTTCCTCAGCTTCTGTCTCCAGCTTGTCTTGTCCCAAAGACCATTGACCCAGAGGGATGAAGCCTTGCACTTATCATTCTCAGACCTCCATGGGTCTGAGTCCATTCATAAACAGCTCCTTTCCACTGAACTAGTCTAAACCAATTCTCTTCATACACTTGTCCAGGCAAAAAATCTCAAGTTGTTTTTTGATTTTTGCGAAATAGTGAAAACGGACTTCTTTGGGCAGATGTTCTTGAGCAGGGAATCTCAAAACCAGGACTACCAATACCAGGTGTCTTTGGCTTGACAGAGGAGGTTTAGGTAAAGCTGGGAAAATGCAGAATAAAGCTAATGAATAGGGGTGGGTTATAGAAAAAGAAAATGCCGCAACATTAATTTGTCATTCACTACAAAAGCAGAGATTGCAAGACACATTCAGATAGCACTACTACTGGTCACCTCTGGTTAGACTCCTCCCTCTCGATTACCAGAAGAATTAAATCTAGGCCAGATTTTGCTTAGATGCCAAAGGAAAAAGGAAATTATACTAACCCTGTCTGTGAATCTGAACAACAGAATTAGTAATGATATTTACACTTGAAATTTATTTTAAAAGTGTGGTTAGCTTAGGTTACCAGATCAAATAAAAAACCAGAAGTCCTGTGATGTGACAGCAAGTAACACTGAGAGTGAAAAGTCAGCACATCCCCAGCCTGTGGGATGGGAGATCCATCTGCTATCAGCTTTTAGGAAACATACTTTGGGTGGAAAGTTTCCTTGCAGCCTCAGGCTTTGTTATAGTAACTAAGTTTAGCTCTTAAGCTCTTGTTCTATCCATAAGTCTAGTTCAGAGCACCTCAAAACTAGGCCTTGCCAAGGGCCCTAGTGTACTGTCCTCTAAAAGGGGGCAGTCCTCTATGCTGAGGTCTCTTGGTGGAGTCATGCTGAAATCAAAATAACTTCGCACAGGCGCAGGAATCCTTGCTGTCAAGTCCCATGTCATAGTATAAATAAAGCTTGTCCAGAAAACACACACACAGGTTTTCTTCCTTGGAGAAAAGCCAGCAGAAACAATTGGATTGTATTTTGTTCTCTATCTCTTAGCTATACATGAGTGTCTCTTATTTTTGCATATTTTCATTATGCAAAGTCACACTGGGCCCAACAATACATTCCACTGCTGTTCGGCTTCTTATTAGAAATGTTATCAAAAGGTAAACACAACACACAGGAAGGTTTGCTATGAAGGAACAAGGTTTTAGTACCATACCATGCCATGTCAACAACTCAGAAATGTTTTAACAGGTTAAAACTATTTTTGGTAATTACAAAGAAGCTGAAAGGAAAAGCATTCCCTCAAGCTGACAACATACATTTTATACAGAAAGAGACAAGATATGAGGCCATGAAAATTGCAAAGACACAAATATTTGAGATGTAACTGAGAGGCAGAAAAATATATTAAAATGATCATTGATTGAGCAACATGGAAAGAATTCTCTCAACAGGAAAAAACAGATTTTCGCAGGTCTCTGAGAAAGCACAACAGACGCCATTTCGGTGAAATACTTAACACTTCCACCTGAAATTTTAAAGCCACTTCTGGATATTGATGGCTGTCTCTTTTGATATAGCTATTATTGCTTTTTTTACAGATAGAGAAACCAGGTTTCTGGAATAAAGAAGAGACTTTTCTAGGATCAAACAGTAAGTCAGGGGCAAAGACAGAAGCAGTCTAGTTCTCCCCAATCTTATTCTCAATCTACCCCATTAACAGATTGTGCAGCCATGAAAAATGATCTCTTCCCTGTGATAAGGTAGGTTTTGCGAGGAAAATAACAAGTTCCACCTGTCTCTCCAGCTGATATTAGCAATAGTGAAAATTTCATTCTGCAGAAAAACTGCCGATGCAGCACTTGTAAAAAAACCTCCAAATCAGAAATTGCCGGCGCGCTTTCAACAGCTGCAACTACTACACACTTCCAGAAAGTCATTTGAGCTCCTTGGATCTGAGTCTGGGATAGACAGCAAAGCCCAGGCGGCCTGGTTGTACCCAACTCTTTCATGCCCCATGTGGGGTGAGGCCAGGCGAGGTTGGAGACCCCCAGGTTTGCACAGGCCCCAGGTTCAGATGGGGCAGGCCCGTGCCACCATCCCTCCCACAGTGCCAGTAAATAAAAGGCACTGATAGGACGTACACACGTGCAAGTGTTTAAATACTCCTTGTTGGGGACTACAGGAAAGCCTACAATAGACATATCGCCTTGGGATGTTTTCTCTACTCTATTGCAAAAAAGCAATAAAAATATGTGCTACTCTGAGGGCTCTTTCTCTGCTTAACCAGCCCCTTTATTATTATCCAGCTTCTCTCAGACTATACCCTCTCTCCCAACAAGCCTGTACTGCTCTAAAGGGCAAAGCTCAGGTCTCAGGCAGGGGCTGTAGAACGTACAATTTTTCGCTTGCCTGACACCATTCCACTACAGCTTGCACCAGGATGGGTTTGAGGGTCTGTGGGCCGTACATGGCTGCTGCCCTTTGCTGGGCCAGGTATCCCTCGTGCACAGATAGGACATGGGTCATGCTAGCCCCACAGGCAGCTGGAAGAGCACAGGGCAAAAAGGTTTTCGGGAATACTGGCCGTCCACATCCCCGGCAGAAACCAGCCGGGGGAAGGTTGGAAAGCCCGGCCTTTTTATTCTCCAGAATTAAGACTTTGATTAGCTGCTGGCACAAAACCAAAACTCCATCTGAAATGCTTTAGACAACCCATCTGCGCTCGGTTTGGGAGTCTGAGGAGCGCATGCCATGGCCTGCTCCTCACCAGGGCCAGGCGAAAACAAGGGGGAAAGAAGGGGGAGAGGAGCCGGGCAGGGAGGAGGGATCCCTGGCCCCGCGCTCCACGCAGGGAGCCCTGCTGGCCCACGTATCTGCTGGCCGGCCTGGCCTGGGGGCTCCCTGGCCATAGCTGGCTGGGCCCTGGCCAGAGCTTGGCCTCTGCTCCTGTGGCACCCGCCGCAGCCATGGGGCCCTGCCCACCCCTCTCCCTCCTTGAACCCCCACAGTCCCTCATGAGTCCCTGCACCTTGTGATAAATTTCATAATTATTCAGCCCTTACTACCAACACCGAAATTCATCACTCAAAGCAAATTAGCCGAGATTCATTAGAATAAGACATCTAGTAGGCACATGTACTTTATTAGCCTCTTACACCAATAGTTTTAATTAGGTACATATTTCACAGCTCTAGAGCTACTCGAGTGAAGGGCTGCTTTTATCTCTTTTATTTACAGTAACAAGCTATCAAACAAATACCACCATAATTAAACTCAGATGCGGGGGGAAAAAAAAAAGATATTTTAAAATTTTTATTAATGGTGAACTACTCAAACCTCAGGTTTGGTAAACTTGGGATATTTAACTAACGAGGGAAATTCCCCCTGGCCTGACAGGCCCTTCCTCCATGTCACCTTCAGGTAGGGGAGGAGAGCTCTCCCTCAGATAGATGCTGGCATGATGAGAAAAGTGATTAAAATCCAGAACATTTCTAAATTATTAACGAGGAATTTAAATGATGTTATAAAAGAGGGAAATACAGGCGAAAATGTTACACATTCATGGAATTTTTACTCATGCATAATAATAAGTTGAAAACACTTTAGTTATAATACTTCCTAAATTAAAGGACGGGGCGGGGGGAGCACACACGATGCGTTTCTCGGGCCCGCCCGC